TGGGGTAAACACAGCACCTGGAAATAGCACCCGGAGGAAACCAACGCAAACATGGGAAGAGCATGCAAACTCCACAAAGAAATGCCAACTGACCCAGCCGAGGCTCAAACCAGCGACCTTCTTGCTGTGGTTTCAAAGAGAAACTTAATTAAGCACATTTTACTTGATAGCATACATGAAATTTACTTTAACTTGAAATTTGAAAACCTGAAAAGTTAAATTTACCTGCGCAAAAACTTAGCATTAAAACACATCACATTTTACTTAAGTAAATGTTGTTAATTAATAGTAGCTATCCAAAAAGTTTTAATTATTCACTATTTACTCATCCTAAAGAGCTTCCAAACCTTAACAGGTTTCTTTATTTTGTCGAACACTAAGGAAGATATTTGGGAAAAAAAGTAAAAACCTGTAACCATTGATTTTAATTGTAGAACAAAATAGTCAAATACTATGGAGGTCATGGGTTTCCAGCATTCTTTTTGAGTTTAACAGAAGAAAGAAACTCATAAGTGTTTACAAAAAGTGAACAGTGTGTATGATGACAATTTTTGGCTTGGTGTCAACCATCCCTTTCTTAAAAATAATTTCTTATTTAAAACCATTTGAGATAACAGGTGTAGAGCAAGTGAATAAATTAAATAAATAAATCAAATGAAAAGGGTTTTTCACATCATAAAAATAGTCTATATCATGCAAAAAGCCATAATTAAAAACAAAACACCACACTCTTTATGATAAAAGTTACAAAAAAGCAATTTGCATAGATGCCATGGAAGAACTTTTTTTAGCCGTCTTATCAGAACCACATTGTTCCTAATGCAAAAACCAATAATCTAAAAAAACTATTATCAACTATACAGAACCTTCAGTGAAATGCAAAGCTTCCACGAAGGTTGGGGTTTATTCATATTTAAAACCATTTCAGAGGCTACAGTGCAAGTGCAAAGCAGGTAGATACATACAAAAATAAAGCAAAACTGCTTCAGACTCATATGAAAAGGCTCTTTCACAGTATAAAAATGGTTCTATTTAGTAAAAAGTCCAAAAAGACCTTTCAGCTTCTATATAGTAAAGCTCAATTCTTTATGCAACCATAAAAAGAGTTCAATTTAGCAAGAACAGTGTTACTGTTAAAAGCTCAAAACCCACAATTCTATTGCTCTTAGAAAAAAAAATCTAAGAAACGTCTATATATTATTGCTCAGCCTTTGTTCTTTATGAAGAAAATTGCATTAAAATCATCTCAGCTTCAAAAACTAGCGACGTCTACATACGAATGGCAGTAAAGGAAAAGTGGCATTATACAATTAGATGAAAGAGAAATTTCTCCATCTACTCGCACATATCCTCAATGGCGACAAAAATAAATCCCTCTTAGGAGGGCTTTGATATTCTCACTGTATATTGTGTTATTTCAACACTGATATATTTACTGAGTTGACTTAATCAGAATCGCAACAAATGAGTATTTAAACATATATGACAGTCATTCATTTCATATGGTTTGCTCCTGGTGGTAAACAATGGCAAACACACAACTGCAGCAACAGCCCACGGCAGTGACCAGAAATAGGCTTCTTTCACAACAGCTTTGTGCTTTCAGCATCTGTTTTATCTTATATACACACACACATATATATATAGATCATAAATCAATGCTTTTTTTCAATTCATAAAACAATGCTTTGATATATTTATATATATATATATATATATATATATATATATATATATATATATATATATATATATATATATATATATATATATATATATGGGCTATGCAGTGGCACAGTAGGTAGTGCTGTCGCCTCACAGCAAGAAGGTCGCTAGGTCGCTGGTTCGAACCTCGGCTCAGTTGGCGTTTCTGTGTGGAGTTTGCATGTTCTCCCTGCCTTCGCTCTGGTTTCCTCCGGGTGCTCCGGTTTCCCCCACAGTCGAAAGACATGCGGTACAGGTGAATTGGGTAGGCTAAATTGTCCGCAGTGTGTGTGTGTGTGTGTGTGTGAATGTGTGTGGATGTTTCCCAGAGATGGGTTGTGGCTGGAAGGGTGTCCGCTGCATGAAAACTTGCTGGATAAATTGGCGGTTCATTCCGCTGTGGTGACCCCGGATTAATAAAGGAACTAAGCCGACAAGAAAATAAATGAATATATATGTATATAATGACAAATAAGCAGTGAAAATTTGCATTTGTATTTTTGTTCAGTTTGAAGTGTGATGTTTGAGAAAATTAAAAGAAGTCACTAACTTTATCTATTCTTTCAGTTTTTTTTTTAATATTACTGAATACTGTAAAAATATCTGTAAATTAGCAGTTTTCCATATCTTGTCATTCATATTTTGCATTCATTCATTTTCTTCAGCTTAGCCTCTTGTTCATCAGGGGTTGCCTGACCCGCCAACTTATCCACAATATATTTTTGGCAACGGATGCCCTTCCAGCTGCAACCCAGTACTGGGAAACACCCATACACACTCATTTACACACACACTACGGCCAATTTAGTTCATCCACCTCACATGTACCGCATGTCTTTGGACTGTAGGGGGAAACCGGAGCACCCGGAGAAAACACACGTGATCCCATGAAGAACATGCAAACTTCACACAGAAATGCCAACTGGTCCAACGGGGACTCGAACCAGCAACCTTCTTGCTGTAAGGCGACAGTGCTAATAACTGAGCCACCGTGCCACCATTCATGTTTAATTATTTTTCAACATTTATTTATGCTTTTGAATTGTCTTTTGAAACCTTAACTTTCTTCCAACAGCTTTTATCCTTGAGAAGTTTTTAAAAAAGTGACTTTTAATAAAATTTTTAATAGTTTAAAGTGATATATTTTCTGGGTTAGTGTTGTATATTATGTTTCAAAACCTTGTAATAAACTGCCACTTACTCAATTTGCTTCAGCTTAGTCAAGGTCCCTTTAAGACAAGTCATTTCACTCGGCGGGCATCTTTAAAATGCCTCTCAGGCAATATGTTCAGGCATTCTGTCTGATTGTGGTAACATAAAAATTCTTCAAAAACTGTTTGCCAAGCTTATGGTTACATTACATATTTGGAATTCACCAATAAAATTAAACAACAATCGTCTAATAAGATTAGTTTCTAAACATTTAAAAAAATCAACATTTTTTCAGGTTACCCGAGTGACTGCGCATAAGCACTCGAAAAGAACGAGATCACGACACCAAACTCATTTATGGACGTGTTACACATTATCATCCTCTGAATAATGCTTTGATTGTGCTGCTCTTCTAAAGTAATTTACAACTTGGTCTTGATGGTAAATCTCCTCCAGAAATGACAGAGACTCTTTTTGTTTACAAGTTTACAAAACGAAACTACTTTTGTTTTCAAGTGTAGTTGGTCTATTTAAAAGTAGAGCTTTCAGGCTTTATTTGGATATATTTCTCATGTCTGTGAAGCAAGTATTCGCTGAGATTCCAGTGTGTTTGTTGACCACAAAAACTGTCATTAAAGCACAAGTTGTCTAAAGCGATTGATGATTGGCTCCTGTACTAGTAGGCGGGTCTTAATTTACCACATTGACACTTTAACCCATTCAAAACTATATGAGTGTTTTCTATAGTCTTTGGCTTAGCCCCTGATTTATCAGGGGTCGCTACAGCAGAATGAACCACCAGTTACTCTGGCATTGGTTTTATGCAACAGATGCTCTTACAGCAACACTCAAATCTTAATATAGAGCTATTTTAGTTTATAAATATAAAATTGTATTCTGTTGTTGGACATTTTCAATATATAGAGGTGTCACACCAAAAGACAACAAATGAAAAATGAAAATTGCATTTACTAAAAGTCACTCGTAAAATTTACACACAACTCCATGGGAGGTAGGGCATTCTCCTACCGTGCACCCAAACTATGGAATAATCTCCCTACAAACATTAGGATTGCTGGTTCCTTGGACTGATTTGTGACATCTTTTTTATTTAGTTGTTTCTTTCTCTGTGTCTTTATTGTTTTACTGTGCTTTGATGTTTTTACTGTTTCGTAAGTGCTTTGGGTTTGAAAAAAGCAGATTATAAATAAAATGTATTCATTCATTCATTCATTTTCGGCTTAGTCCCCTTATTAATCACCACAGCGGATAAACCGCCAACTTATCCAGCATTTGTTTTAAGCAGAGGATACCCTTCCAGCTGCAACCCAACACTGGAAAACACCCATTCACTCTTGCATTCACACACATACAATACGGGCAATTTAACTCATTCAATACACCTATGCTGCATGTCTTTGAACAGTGGGGAAAACCAGAGCACTCAGAGGAAACCCATGCAAACATGGGGAGAACATGCAAACTCCACACAGATATGTCAGCTGACCCAGCCGGGGCTCAAACCAGCAACCTTCTTGCTGTGAGGCGTTCGTGCTACCTATTGCGTCATTGTGATGCTCTAAATAAAATGCATTATTATTATTAATAAAATTAGGCCTGGTGTATTTATTAATGGTTTTATGATTTTCTTTTTAATTTATAAGAGCTTTACCTCATAGAACTATGCTTGAGACAGTCACACCATATGAAAAAAACATTAACTCAGCATTTTTTATACCAAGAGATCCAAGGAAGACAAAGAAATGTTTTACCATTTACTCCATTAAAAATGACGACAGAACTAATTATCTTCATTTTTTACATGTGTGACAGTGAAAATGAAATCTCATCTCAACAACCTATATCTATAGTACATACTGTATGCTAAGAATTCAAAAGTGGCACAAAACAAACAAAGTTTTGCACCACCAGCAAAACTAAATATTTAATAAGTTTTACTGTATGTATCATTTATAACTACACATGTAATTCAATACACAAGTGCATTGTTTGCATAGAGGGTATGGTATATTGGGCACTCCAGCCAGGACAAACCATGCTTTTAGGCTGTTTCATAAAAATGTAGTGCACAGTTTATGCTGAGCTTGTGGGAAAAGAGAGCAAGTAGGTTACAGTCAACTTACGCATGTTGTTTGCTCTGGCCTGCACAGTGTCATAATGCTGTGTGTGCATTCCGATGGCCTCCTCGTGTTGACCCTGACGGGCTCCTTGCATGACGCTCGCAACAGCTCTGTTGAAGAACAAGCAATATTCGTTAGCTTAGTTGTATTGTGTAACCAGCCTTTGTTTAGATATCAGAGCCCAGCTGAACAGAGTGATACAGTGTCAGCAGACTGACATCTCTTTAGCTGCCGCTGTCCGTAGTGCTGATTCAAAGAGAGCAGGTTTTTCTGTGAGCTGCTCTTTCAGCAAACCTGCTCACTGTGGGCTGCGCGGCTCTCATCAGAGGTTTTGACCCACTATATCAGAGATTTACACCTCCGCCATCCGAGCTGAGTAACCAAAGGGTAAAAACTGACAACCGGACGTTATGCAATGCCATGTAACATTTTGTACAGCTCTCTCGGTTTACATGTGCAACTTAACCGTGTTTTCATGTGGATCTCTTGAGATCAGTGATTCAAGAAAGCCTTTTAAACGAGAGCTTGCGTAACACAAATGCATGAATTTAGAAACCGTAATGAAGATTCAAGGGATTGTTTTGCTCTAATTATGCATGAATATGCATGGGTAGGATAGGAGCAACAGTAAAAACACAAATTTATGACAAGCAGCGCTTCTGGCTAAAAAGCTACAGAAGGTGAAATTCTTTGTCTGGTGATTCTTTTTTTACCCTGGGAAATTTTAGCCTACAATGCCACACTGCTAAATATTGCTGGGTTATGTCAACCCAAGTTTGCATCAGATAGGCACAAACCCAGCCACTGAGCTAAATATGAGTTAAATAATTTGACATTTTGACCCAGCAGTTGGGAAGAGCAAATTCATATAAGCTACTAAATACTGTAAATCAATTTTCCGCAGGGTTTTTAACGTCCCATGCTTACCCTCTCTTACCACTTTATACTCTTCATGCAATATTATATCTATATTAAGTCCACAAAAGAAAGAAAACACAATTTGAAACACATAAATAATGCTGTAAGTTGTTTTTGAATGCATCATGTCTACACACCACCCCAAACAGTTACACTGAAGCATTCAAAATCAGAAAAAAATGGACTATAGAATGACTCATGACATGCTTGTTTTTTAACATCTTCTAATTTAACAAAAAGGTTTATTTAAAACCCAAGACTCATGCACAAAACATGGCGAAAGTCATTTTATAGTCCATTTTATTCTGTTTTTGAATGCTTCAGTGTAACTGTTTGGGATAGTGTGTAGACATGATGCATTCAAGAACATAGAACATTATTAATGTTTCAAATTGTGTTTTCTTTACATTATTTTATTTGTGGCCTAAATATTGATATAATATTAACCAAGCAAATTTACCAAAGAAATTTAAGGAATATTTAGTTAGAGATTTTTAGTCATTGTTGAGTACCTTACCTAAAGTTTATAGTCATTTGCTTTCAATCATACTGTACATGAATCAGATATATCACTTTTACACACATTTTTTTCAGTGTTCCATGCCAAAATAGATTCATGTTTCTCTTTGCTTTGTTGTATCTAGATTAAATCCCAAACTGAAATATTTACAATCAAATGCATTTTGAGGCACACGTGATGTGCTCCAGTCGGTTGTCTGCTTGTTTTTGAAAGCACCATGTGTGAAGCAGCCCTCTCAGCCACTTATGCTGGGGAATTCTTGCATTTAAAAACAGCAACTATGGCAATTAAATGACATCTTTGTGTGCTCTTCTAACTCATTTTTATTTAATTGTTTTAATTGTTAAAAAGTGTCTCTGTCATCAATCATTCTAAAAACCTTTAACATCCAGAGACATTTTATTCCAGTAAAGGTTCTTTACAGTGTAAATGAGTTATTTAGATTCTCAATATGTTTTTCACAGGAAAGAAAATGATTGCCTAAAGAACATGTTCCTAAAATGTTCATTAAGGAACAAAAAAGGTTGACATCACTGATTCTGATTTTAAGAGTGTTGTTTTAACTTGAGTCTGAACCTCAAATGCATGTATTTAGCAAACACGCTTACAATAAATTATAGCCTACTGTTTTGTAAGTCGCCTACATCACCAAATAGCACTTTTGCCGAAGCATTTTATTTAAATTCAAATAGAGAATGGGAACTGTCAAAGGAAAATTTCAGCTGCTTACCGAGACATGCTCTCCCTATGAGGTCTGTGAGCCTTTTCTAGTCCAAGTTTGGTAAATATCCCAACCAGTGCCATGATTGCCACTACTCCACATATTATATACACAATCAAGTTTGTTTTATCCTTGGTTGGATCGTGTCTCGGGTCTAATGTTTTCTTATACGGTGTCTGTCCTGTTAACCACACTGGTGTGTCGTAATTTTTACAAGTGCTCTGATCCAAACGAGAGTTTTTATAAGCGCAGCAAAATCTGAAGCCACAAGTGCCGCAACAGTATAAATAATTGCCTGTTTGGCAAACGAACGGCGGGTCCCATTGTCCCATGACATCATAGTAACCCCGACATTTGTCCTCGGTGTGTGGAGGTTCAGAAACGCTCTCCTCATCCCGGGACCCATTGGACCCAGAGAGCATTATAAAGCCCTCGAGCTGCTGCGCTTCCCCGTCCGCGCTGTACAACAGCACCAGAACTTTGACCAAGAAGTATTCTAACAGCAAAACTGTCCATTTCATCCTGTAGTCTCCTGGAGGCTTCCCTTAAAGGACAAAGTGAGACTGAGAATTGACTTTGTACTACCACCGACAGCAGGGCATAAATCCACACGACTGAACAAAGCCATCCGGGGAGGTTTGCATTTTCAAAGAGGTAAATTAAGACCGCAGATGTTTGGGAAGTCCACTCCTGCCGGTGTTGATCTCAATCCCAATTGTTCTGCTGATTGTCAAGTACTTTGTTGATCTGTGAAACCACTGCGCAACTACCCTGAAGGCTGTCTTTGTTTGTGATGATGACAGGAGAGCAGAGGCAGAACTGTGGAGCGCGCGCGCGGAGAGTGGGAGAGACAGTGCGTAAATGGAAGGAGGAGATATGGGAGGGCTATTGGATAAGAAGAGCTCGTGTAGTAAAGAATCGCCGTGAAAGTTGCATTCTGATTTAAGATGGTCCATGCAACTCGAAAACGAATAGGTTACCCTTCCTCATCTTTAAATTTATTAGCAACATATCTCATTATAGGATCATAAGCAAGTCGTTGCGCGTAACTTGACCAGTGACCACCATACAGAAAATAAAGCTCATAGCCTATATGATTTTTAGTTTATTTGCGCAACGCAACACCTTTGCGAGTCTGCACTGTGCTTGACTGTAAACAAGCTTGATGAAACCAGACCATGTTACTGTGCCGTTTGAGAAAACGTTTTACAATAAAAAATATTATTCGTCTATAGGCAAGCTCGTGTGAAAAACTGAAAGGTTTTGTTTTTTGTCAAGTTTACAACATTTTAATCTCTGTCACTGGTAGATGTTTTGTTTTACTTTTTGCATCTATTTTTTAAATATCCGGTTTGACCTTTTCCAGTGTTGGGTTGTGAATGGCATAAAACATGTGCTGGATAGTTTGGCGGTTCATTCCTTTGTGGCGACCCCAGATTAATAAAGGGACTATAAGCCGAAAAGAAAATGAATGAATGAATAAATGGATGAATATCCAATTTTACCAGAAAAGAACGGCTTGCTATAATAAAGTAATTCAGATATAACATGTGAGTACTATAGCAAAATGATAGCAGAGATTAGCAATATTATAATATATTATTGTATATTGTTATTAATGTTGTTGTTGTTGTTGTTAAATTCTAATGTAATAGAATATAATTTAATTGTACCTATATTATTCAGATGTTGTTAAAAGTAGTATAGATATGAGAAGCCTTGCAATTATTATATATTTTATTATTACTATTTCATTATTTTAATATCATTAATACAATTATTAGTAATATTATCAAATATATAGCTAGTATATATATATAAGGCCTACACCTGTGTTCTGAACTTTAAAGTTTCTTAGTTGTTGTTGTTTAACTCTTGTGTTTATATACTGGTATGATTAAAAAGCATCATAAGCACTGTTTTGTTTATACTGTCATTGTCATTTATTTTGCAATTCCGAAAATATTTCGAGATTGAGCTTTGGATGTTAGATTTATTTTGTTTTCTTGTCAGACAGTCGTTCTCTGACTCTGTTGAGTTCTCTGGAGTCCGCACATTCCCAGACATCGCTAATACATCACTAAACGCATCGATTTACGAGCAGGAACTAACGATTTAGTCAGTATTAGTGCACAGAACGCCCTTATTTCGTGACCAAACAGGGAAACGAAAGTCCATAACCAGTTTAAACCTCGCTTTTTATTACTGTGTCTATCGCGTTTCAATGGCAGCCGACGAAAGCGTTTTTCTGAGGGCGAAGGACCGGAGTTATAAGGGGCTTACAGAAGGTAACGTTACAGTTAACTTAGCTGAGCTAGCTTAACGTAGATTAGAGATTTCTGTAAAACTTTTAATTATGGCAGTACGTTTTGCTTTAAGGTCTTTCATGTTTTTATAAACACTCTTTAGCTACCAGTGTAGGTCACTGAATTTTAGCAACAAGTCTTTAACACATGACATTAGACATAATAACAAAGCTGGACTGAGTTGTAGATATTTGCATTTACTCTGAGGAGCGTTGACAAACATCTACAATTAAAAATAAAGTTAATCTAACACAAACAACTTAACACAACATGATTGGGGTACAATGTGCCAAATCAGGAGACCAGACAATATCAGAAATTTACAATAAACAATAATAGACAAAATGCAACAATCTAGCAGTTTTGGTAATATAGGCTGAAAAGAATAATAGAAAAGGTGCTACACTTCAGTAAAGCGAGGTTGTATTTTCACCACAAATCTAGATTTTGATTGCATATACAACCTATTAGTACATTTAGTATAATGTGCTTCTTTGTTTTGTCCTGTCAGAAAACAGTCTCACATGGTTGCTTAGGAGCTATCATGTTTTTATAAGCTTATATTTAGACATTATGAGAACTTTAAAATCTAGTCAACCAAACATAAATTGAAAGTTTAAATAAGTTTGTTCAGTGTATATTTATTTAACATGCATATAAATCTACAACTTATTTAACTTTAAGTTTTGTAAACCAAAAAAAAAAAATCTTTGTCCTCACGTTGGTTGCCTTTTAATCTTTAAATTGTTTTCTGAAGCTGTTAGATGGCACATTTTTGCTGCCCAACACCGGTTCCCTTAATTAATTTACATTTTTTGTTTATCTTGTTAATCCTTTTAAATTAACATTAATGAAACATTTTGACCAGAATTAAAAAGAATGTTATCTATAAACATTCATGGTCATATGGCTTTATAAAATCATCACCATTAAGGGGGCATTTTCACCATTACAGGAATTATTCATTTAGTTTTTTTATTAAAAAAAAAAAAAAAACTGACTAAAAGTATTTACAATTTCAAATAGTCTTTAACCTTTGGTATGGTGTTTTTCCATTTTTTTTTCACGTGTTTTTGTGCCCTTGAGCAGTTCCCCTGGTTGACTGTTTATGTAAATCCTGTCTGAAATCTTCATCGCAGACTAATTTCTTGCTTATTCTTTGCTTTGCACTGGCAGTGTTGACATCTGCAGTTTTTTCCACTCTTTTTTAATATGAAAAACCTACAGCAGTGTCTGTTAGTGTATGCTGTGAGTTGAGTTGATATTTAAATGCTTTATCACAGGAGGCTTTTATCTTGACTTATGATTAGGTTAGCAGTATTTGAAAGCTCTGGGAGTCATCTGAGATATCCTTCTGATTTATGTTTGCTGAAAGAGGCTTGTGCTTATCGGCTGTCATGGGAGCTTTGTCTGCTCCTCTCAATTCATGTTGTTTAAAGTTGCCTGAAAATAGTTCCCAGTCTCTGGGGACTGTACATGAAAGAGTTAGACAACAAACAAGATTCCAGGCAGCAGATGGTACATTTTAAATGCTTTTGGAGTTGGTCAGATATCATGTGTTTTTATATTATTTATTTATTTTAAGCAGGTTTTCTGCTATCCCAAAGAGATACTCGAAGTATGGCAAACACTTCATCTTGTCAGAATGACAAAACGATTGAATTGAAACAGCATTGTCTATCCATTGGGATTTATGTTGAAACTTCATTGTAATATTAATTAAGATGTTGCTCTGCTCATTTAAAAAAATGAAAAGTTATGCGATTGCACAGCAGGTAATCACACAGTAAATAATCCAGATTAAAATTTAGCAGTTTGACACATTTACTACATGTTGTCAGTAAAGGGTTTGCAAAACTGCTGTCAAATCAACAGCACAGGCAACTGTAGTTCAGTTACTAAGCAAATGATTCACATGAACAAGATCTGTTTAGTAAAATCAGAAGCAAACAGCTATGAGTATACCCCTCCTCCCAAACGAATGACTTTATGAATTGGTTCTTGTCTTTAACAAAAGTGTAAAGTAACAAATAACAAATACTCAAATTACTTGTAGTTTTTATAATTAAAAAAAAATTTTATTAGTTTTTTTTTTACTAACTTTTTACTAGTTTTTCAAATTTTTACAAATTTTACAATTTTACTTATACGTTTTAAAGAGCTTCTATTATGGGTTTTTAAAAATGACCTTCCATGCAGTGTGTAACACAGCTCTAAGTCAACGAAAACATCCAGCTGATGTTTAAATCTGAAAGTGTACCGTGTTTAAAATAACTGATTTTTAAAACAATAGAGTCAACACAGAGTCTAATAAATGATTCATTTTGTGTTTGGATCTTTTACTTGCTTGTATCGATGTCGATATGACACATTAGCTGCGCCCCAAATCGCATACTTATGCACTGATCTACGCCATTTTGTAGTATAAATAGTGTAAGTAGAGTGTTCACGCTGAAAACTCTAAAAATAATAAGTGCACTTTAATTACCCGGATGATGCACTCATTCAGCCGCTAAAATGAAGTGTGTAATGATGGACACTTCACACACTCAACGACCGCAGGTTTGCTTACGTAGCGGAAGGGACGGAGCTATCGGGCACACATGTTGGATAACTTTATTTATTTTGGATGGTGAAAGCAAAATTCTCCTACGAGAGCGATTTTAGCGCCTCCTGGTGGTGAATGCAGTTATACTCACGGAAGGTATTATTTGATAATTAGTTTATTTCACTGATAAAGTCGTTATTTCACTGATTTGGCAACCGTCAAACGTCATTAGGGAAACAGTTTGCATTTCCGCATAGTAAAAAAACATTAGTGTGCCATTTGGGACGACACTACATACATATACTATGCTGTTGAGTGTGTAAGTGCATAAGTACATAGTGCATGAGTGCATAGTGTATAGTGTGCCATTTGGGATGCAGCTTCGCCAAATGTGAGGTGCTGAATCTGGTAAAATGTGAACACGCCCTACCTTTCAAACACTAGCTGAGTGCAGGGGATTATAGAATTGATCATGATGCAAAGATTACTATCACAGAGAGATGACCAGATATCTAACTGTGGGGAATAAAGAGTTAAAGTTCATTTTCTCAACAATACTACAGTATATGATTTGCTGTGTTTGTTGCTGTCATTTTTCTGATGATTAATAGAATAACCTATCCTGCAAAGTGGGATTTGTCAACCATTTGGTAAAGGAAGGATCAGCAAAGACTATTACATCTGATTCACATGGGGCTTTAGTGTCAACGCTTGATGGAGCATGGAGGGCATTTCTGAAGTTGGGGCTGATGCGATCCTCATAGCCAGTGTTGGGTAGTAGCGGCGCTACAAGTAGTAATGCAGCTAGCTTAACTACATTTTTCAGTACCGTGGTGGTAGCGTCACTACTTTCTAAATTAAATAGCTTTTCTGTAGTGAAACTTTTTTTTTTTGTCAAGTAGCGCAGTAACGTCCACACAAGCTACATTTACTGATTGCTGATCAATAAGTAATGGCACCAAAATTCACGGAGCTTTGAGGCCGGTGTCTTGCCGATGAAAGTAAATCAACATGATAGCGAAAATGATGAATTCTTCCTGTTTTACGCTGATCGACAATAAGCATTTTGGTGCTTTACTGCCACCTAAATTTACTTGATGGAAAGATGACTGAGGGAGAGAAGACTATAGTTTACTGTATTAAAAGTTTAAGTATACTATGGTAATTACTATTAATTTGTGATAGTTAATGATACAGCATTATGCAGTGTAATTGATTAATGAAGAGTATATATTTACAATTTAATTCTTAATCCTAAATATTTCCCTTTACTATAAATTACTATAGTATTTTAAATGTGTAACCTGCTTTTATTTGGTTTTTATTTTTTGCTTTTATATACTATATTTTGTTTCTGTTTAATACAGCATATTATTTGCAGTTAATAATTGAACTGATTGCTATAAAAATAGCTTCGATGTAGCTAAGCTACTTTTGTCTAGTAGCTTTTAGATTAGCTTGCTACAATTTAGCTTTTAGTGTAGTTAAGCTACATTTAAATAGAGTAGCTAATAACTTAGCTCACTACATTTTTCAAGTTGCTTGCTCATAGCAACGTCAGCAAATAAATTTTGTCTGTGATTTTGCATAAAGATCTGATTGGCTAACGCGTCCATTGGTGCTTTAAAAAAGTTGAGAAATTTTCAACTTCTACAGTGACTGAAGCCCCTGAAGCGGTGCCGACTTATCTACAATTCAGTTCGCCAACGCTTGACGTCAACTATTCAAAGAAAATAGGAAACGTTGTCGTGTAAATGGGCTGTGAATGAATGGGACTTTGTCAGTAACTGTTACACAGTTTATATGGACCAGTTTCCTCTTCCTATAGACCCTTTAAGTGTTTCTCCTTCCTACACGAGCTGTAAGTGTGATTAATATGGTTGCCTCATTTTCTGTAGTTTGCAAAATGTGTATTTAATTGTGTGTTGTATTTGTAATTGCTCAGCATGACTTGTAATTACTTATCTATTACAGATCTTTTATGTTAAATCTCTTTGAGCTGGTTCACGTATTGCATCCAAACCACGTTGAAAATGCAACGCATGCTTCTTCCTTCAACATCACGCAAAGGTGGGGTTTGGTAACAAATAAATCACTGAACAAATTGTATAGGATTTGCTGGGATAATTAGGTAAAAATAATGCTTATTAAAAGACAATGAAAGGGTTTTTTGACCTTACATGCAAATCAGCCAGCTGTTAGAGACCTCCAACACCAAAATATGACCTTATATAGTGCATAATAAGGGCTCTTTAAAAATGTATATTTACTTTTAAACAAGTATAATTTTATTGCTGTATTGCTTCTTTTACTGCATTACTTTCATTTAAGCCGCAGTCGCTATTTTTGTATGTTGATTTTTTTTTATTTTTATTTATTTATTTTTTTGTATACAGTGATTTGTGATATGTCCGGTAATTCCTGTCTAATCAAA